TATCTATCTATCTATCTATCTATCTATCTATCTATCTATCTATCTATCTATCTATCTATCTATCTATCTATCTATCTATCTATCTATCTATCTATCTATCTATCTATCTATCTATCTATCTATCTATCTATATCTGTTATTACGGACATTTGATCTGAAAACAGGCCTTGCTGCTTCTGATGCTGCTAATCACAACCAGTTTACAGGTCAATGTTTAACTTCTGTCACACCTGGTTTGTCCTCTGTCTCACAAGGACATTTAACACAAAGCAGTCTGTGTTTACTCGCATACTACAGATATCGAGACACACACACACACACACACACACCACACACACGGATACTTCATTTGGGTAACCTTGACAATCAGATTAATGAAACAAATTATTTCTATGTTTCTCTTACTGGACACCACAGATCCAGTAATACACTGTAATACACCGAAGTTCAGAAATATGATTCCAAACCCAGTCTATAGAGATCAGTCACTGGAGCTGAGGAATGTGGTTTCTCCTCGAATACAAAAACACAGACAACATGAGGAGTTCACAGGAAACCCCAGGTCATTTAGGAAAATATCTGATCACAGAAGAAAATGAATACATCTGGTGAAAATACATGGTCAGCCTCAAAGTGGAACATCTGAGAGAGGGGGAGAGGGGGAGAAAGAGAGAGAGAGAGAGAGAGAAACTTTATGACTCATTTCCCACGTAGCAATTTTGCTGGGCTGGTGCTAGTCAGGATGAGATAATCTCTGGAGTCAGTTTGTTTGTAACAGACTCCTGCTCTGGAGTTTAACACACGGCAGAAGTGATGTAGTCTCAATTACATCATGTGTCTGGCATCTCCAAATAATCACAGAAACTGGATCTGATTCTACGGAGCCCCCCCTGGTCCCACTTTGTCAAAAAAAAAAACTCATTATAAATATCTTGTGGCCTCAAGATAGTAACTGGTGGCCTCAAGATAAAAACTGGTGGCCTCAAGATAGTAACTGGTGGCCTCAAGATAATAACTGGTTGCCTCAAGATAGTAACTGGTGGCCTCAAGATAAAAACTGGTGGCCTCAAGATATTAACTGGTGGCCTCAAGATAGTAACTGGTGGCCTCAAGATAGTAACTGGTGGCCTCAAGATAATAACTGGTGGCCTCAAGATAATAACTGGTTGCCTCAAGATAGTAACTGGTGGCCTCAAGATAAAAACTGGTGGCCTCAAGATATTAACTGGTGGCCTCAAGATAGTATCTGCATGGTGGCTTAAAGATAATATCTGGTGGGCTCAAGATAATATCTGGTTGCCTCAAGATAATAACTGGTGGCCTCAAGATAATATCTGGTTGCCTCAAGATAGTAACTGGTGGCTTCAAGAGAAAAACTGGTGGCCTCAAGATATTAACTGGTGGCCTCAACATAGTAACTGGTGGCCTCAAGATATTAACTGGTGGCCTCAAGATAGTATCTGGTGGCTTAAAGATAATATCTAGTGGCCTCAAGATAATAACTGGTGGCCTCAAGATAATAACTGGTGGCCTCAAGATAATATCTGGTTGCCTCAAAATAGTAACTGGTGGCTTCAAGAGAAAAACTGGTGGCCTCAAGATATTAACTGGTGGCCTCAACATAGTAACTGGTGGCCTCAAGATATTAACTGGTGGCCTCAAGATAGTATCTGGTGGCTTAAAGATAATATCTAGTGGCCTCAAGATAATAACTGGTGGCCTCAAGATAGTATCTGCATGGTGGCTTAAAGATAATATCTGGTGGGCTCAAGATAATATCTGGTTGCCTCAAGATAATAACTGGTGGCCTCAAGATAATATCTGGTTGCCTCAAGATAGTAACTGGTGGCTTCAAGAGAAAAACTGGTGGCCTCAAGATATTAACTGGTGGCCTCAACATAGTAACTGGTGGCCTCAAGATAATAACTGGTGGCCTCAAGATAGTAACTGGTGGCTTAAAGATAATATCTAGTGGCCTCAAGATAATAACTGGTGGCCTCAAGATAATAACTGGTGGCCTCAAGATAATATCTGGTTGCCTCAAAATAGTAACTGGTGGCTTCAAGAGAAAAACTGGTGGCCTCAAGATATTAACTGGTGGCCTCAACATAGTAACTGGTGGCCTCAAGATATTAACTGGTGGCCTCAAGATAGTATCTGGTTGCCTCAAGATAGTAACTGGTGGCCTCAAGATAATCTCTGGTTGCCTCAAGATAATAACTGGTGGCCTCAAGATAAAAACTGGTGGCCTCAAGATAATAACTGGTGGCCTCAAGATAGTAACTGGTGGCCTCAAGATAAAAACTGGTGGCCTCAAGATAATATCTGGTTGCCTCAAGATAGTAACTGGTGGCCTCAAAATATTAACTGGTGGCCTCAAGATAGTAACTGGTGGCTTAAAGATAATATCTGGTGGCCTCAAGTAACTGTATCTACTATTCTAACTGTATCTACTCCGTATTGAGGATACTAATTCCTCAATACGGAGCCCCCCTAGTCCCACTTTGGCAAAAAAAAAAAAAAAAAAATCATTATACATATCTTGTGGCCTCAGGATAGTAACTCGTGGCCTCAAGATAGTATCTCTATACCTCCGTTATATGACTGATAGACACAAATGGTTTGACCTAAAAATATCAAAATTGAAAATACTGTGGAAACAAAGACACCTACATCTTGGATACCCTTGAGGCAAGCTAAAACATACCAAATATTAATTGCAAAGTGAACTGTCCCTTTAAGTTGTAGAACTGGGATACATGTCAATCACACTTTAAATAGACTACGTACTAATTGGCAATTAATATATAATTTTTTTACAAGTTGATATTTTACAAATAAATAAAAAGCTTATATTAAACCTTTCTCTTGCTAGTTTATATATCATATATATAAACTAGTCATTTAAACTGGTGAGATGAACGCATTTCACAATCAATTGTCAACTCACAGCAGGATTAGAGAAAGAAAATGAACCGACAAATCTGTAAAAACATACATTTTATTGAGGACATCTGATACTTTACAGAGATGTGTTATTAACATTACATAAGATTTCCTCTTCTGGAATCCAGACATGTAGTATCAACATACAAAATTGCGGCAATATAAGAGGCATTTACGATACATGATATTTATATGCATATCTTTATATTTGTCTTCTGAAAAGGATTTGAGATGGATATTTCAAATAAACTCATGGTAAGACTGCAGAGCTCCTCCTTACAAGCATAAGATTTTAGCAAAAAATAATGAACCTTTAACCCATAATCAAACAATGATGGAATAAAACATGAAATCTAACCTGAAAAAAAAAAACAAACTACAATTTCATACACACAATTCAGCATTTGTTCAAAAAGAAAAATAACGGACAAACAAACTCAAAGTCAATTGATACACAAGGCTCTTACAAAACAGAACAGTACAAAACAATAAAACACAACGTCAATGTTGAGAAAAGGAAAACTTCAAACTTGGTCCTATAGCTTTTGCATTAAAAAAAAAAAAATGTTCCCCTGTGTAATCCAGCTATATATCCATACCAGCCAAGCTCAGTCCGAGATGCCATACTTTTGCACTAAAGGTCCATTCACCACATTCCACAAAATCCTGCCAAAGCATCTGTGCTTTACAACATATACCACAATCAATGAACCTTGCAAGAAGTACAAGCTCACAAAACATGGCAAGCAATATAAAGGTTAATACAGTATTTTATTTTACACAGTTATTTCTATTAGTGAAAAGATAAAGCTTTGCTTTACATTGCAAACATGCATGCGATCACAAACGTGCATGTGTGTGTGTGTGTTTCGGGGCTCTGGCTGCACCGGGACAACTAAATGCTCCCAGTATTGGTTGCCATTTAAGATGAAACCTTTTCTCATCCCTCTCGTTTAACTAGTTCCCTAATTTCATCCTCAGCACAGACCATGTGCTTTAAAGGGATACTCCACTTTTTTGGAAATAGGCTCATTTTACAACTCCCCCAAAGTTAAATAGTCAAGTTTAACCGTTTTTGAATCCATTCAGGTGATTTTCTGATATTTAGAAGAATATCAGTTACCAGACAGTTTCTGCTCTCATTGACTTCCATAGTAGGAAAAACAAATACTATGGAAGTCAATGAGACCAGAAACTGTCTGGTAACTGATATTCTTCTAAATATCAGAAAATCGGCAGAATGGATTCAAAAACGGTTAAACTCAACTATTTAACTCTGGGGGAGTTGTAAAATGAGCCTATTTCCAAAAAAAAGTGAAGAATCACTTTAAAAAGATTTTTCTAGATGCAGAGTTTCCATAAACTAAACCCATAATCCACCCCAAACTGAGCATTTTGTCGTTTCCTCGCGCTCATGTTGTTCCAAACCCATAGCCAGATGTGCTTTCCCCCCCAATGGAACACAAGAGAACTTTTGAAGGATCTTCATGCAGCTCTTTTCCATACAAAGTCTGTAGTGACTATAGTGAGCTACATTCCAAGCTATAAAGCGGTGAAGCAATGATTTGACATGCAACCTTGATATGACATGAACATTAAAGGGGATTATGACAATAGGTTTGCACCAGACACAATTACTAAACTAATGATCAACAGCATAAGGGTTTGAAACAAATCGGTGCAAGAAAACAATGACAGATTTTTCTTTTTAGAGTGAACTATTGCTTTAATAAACTCGAAAAAGAAATCCAAACTCGTATATCCTGTCTGACCTCAGCTAGAGTCCTGAAAATGAGAGTATTTAGGTGTTAGTCTTTGGCATGGTATTAGAAAAGCCATTTCAGATTAATCTACAGGAATCTAAATCTATAATTGACAACTATATAACATAAATGCTTACTTGTGCAGAAATAAAAGAAAATATCCCTTAGTGCATTGCTTGGTGAAAAGGAATCCTCTTACAAATCTAGTTAACGGGTCAAACCTTTGACCTTCATTTTACACGCCCAAAGTTGTCATTAGTGCTGATCTAGAACAAGTTTTTCCATCTGCAATGACTGGATGAAAATGGGGCGCTGATCTTAAATTAGCTCTGCAATTCTTCAGACACTGTATCAGCTGGTGTGTCTTGGGAATGGCGGTGAATTTTAACCATACGAAATGTCTCAACGTATGAGGGTGCAGTGTGGAAGTAGAGTGTTTTTAAGACGACCAAGCTGCCCAATGACATCCACGCTATTCCCCTCACGGTGAAGCTAACAGCAAGAGTATAGAGGACTTATTAAGGAGTGTCCATAACGATCAGCGTGACTCGTTGGGTAACCCAGCCCTCTTCAAACCTGTGCTCCAAACCCAGACTCGACAAATCTAGATTTAGCTCACATTTAGCGGGGAACACAGCAGATCCAGTCCAGTTGAGTCTAGATTTGTTCAGAGGCGACAGGTTCCGATCCAGCCGATCCGTGAAGAGATCACTATAAGACTTGTGTGCATGTAACCGTCGTAACCTGTTCTGTTTATAAAAGAACTTTTATAAAGAAAAGAGCAGAAAAGGATTTACATGAGCAAAAAATAAACGAAACGACAACAAAAAAGCTGCAAAACAGTTGCAGCCATAAAAACAAACAACAATTAACAATAATAATCCACAAAAATATCATTGAGTATTAACATAAGGGAGGGAAAGTATCCAGTTGTGTCCCTTCTTCAGGTGAAGCGGCTCCCTCAGAGGGTTTGGCACAAGAGTCTGATCAGAGAGCGAGAGTAGAATATGCTCTACACATCCCTCTCGACTCGTCTCTGCCGCACTGAAAGAGAAAACGGAGACGTGTTGGTAATCGGATACGGTCACAGTCCTCTATCAACATGCCGTGAGAACATGCTGTGAGATGCGTGAAACTTTAATGAGATCTGCTCATTTAAGAGGCTTAATAAATCAAAGGTGTGTTAGTCAATCCTTTATCCTGTTTCAGAGCTACACAAGATTACCAAATTCAGCCCAAAAAAAAATTGCTGTCATGAACAATCAGGTCCCCCTTGGGTCTGCACTAGGATCCATGGTATAGTCGATTCAAATTGTGTCAGGTTTGCTATCCGGTCTCTTTTACAGTGCGCTAGCACTACTTTAGCCTGCTTTGGCTTGTATAAAAGTGGTTACTTTTTTTATTGTTTCGCATTTTAGTATCGACATCTTTTGAGATGTTTAAAGGGTTAGTTCACCCAAAAATAAAAATTAAGTCATTAATTACTCACCCCCATGCTGTACCAACCCCGTAAGACCTTCGTTCGTCTTCGGAACACAAATGAAGATATTTTTGATTAAATTTGAGAGCTGTCTCACTACCACATTGGCTGCCTAAAGGACTGGCTCTTGACGGCCCAGAAAGTCAATGAAGAAAATGTTTAAATATCCCATGTGACTACAGTAGCTCAACTATAAGTTTATCAAGCGACGAGAATACTTTTTGTGCGAAAAAACAAACAAAAATAACGACTTTATTCGACTATTCCTTTTCTTCATTGTTGGCCAGAAACGAGACTTCCTTAGATTTCCACGACGCATGCGCGAGAACTGAACTGAAGTAGTTGAAGGAGATCGCAATTCTCACGCATGCGTCGTGGAAATCTAAGGAAGTCTCGTTTCAGTCTCGTAAAGGAATAGTCGAATAAAGTCGTTATTTTTGTTTGTTTTTTCGCACAAAAAGTATTCTCGTCGCTTGATACTTATAGTTGAGCCACTATAGTTGTAAACTCTGTCATGGGGGAATACACGCATGCATTTGTTGACAAGCTATACCCTCGAACTCTGCAGAAGGAAGGAGTTCTCACATCTTGGGCAGACTCCAGTGTTGCGTGTGAAATGTCTTCATCCCAGGTACATTGGGATATATTTCAGCATGTCTTATGAATATAGTGTCATGGGCTTTATTTTATTTTTTCAAACGTCAAAAGATCGCGTAGCTCAGAGTCTTTATAGTAACGTTACCCTATAGACCTTATTCAGAGCAGCGCCATGACAGGTATGAAAGTGAGGCTGTGAGGGATAGACTTACCGTGTTTCCAATGGCATCCGCTGTAAAAAGCTGAATACGCTCCTAGATTACTTTGTCGGGAGTTTTTTGTCAACTAAAATTTCTTGGAAAGATATTTTTCGAGTGTTTCATGAGCAGAACAAAACGGAAACACATTAAATAATAGTACAGCCCTATGTAATAGTACAGCATGTCTATCCCTCACAGCCTTACTTTCATTCTCATTAAAAATCAAAGATGGCGCTGGCGTAAATAAGGCGTATTGGCTACTGTTTTACATAATGGATATGATAATTCAATTCAATGTTTGCTGGTAGATAATAGCCATGTCGTCAATATTATAATATCAAGCTACCATAGATAAATCTGCAAATTTGAAAAATCGATTTGCATAACAGCCTGAGGCAAGACACTTTCACCAGAAAAACAAGGCCCTGTTTACACGAGAACGCTCGCAGGTGAATACGTAAAAATATTTAATCAGATGTGCCTAAGCCTAAGTCCCGCCCCTCCACTTCTGGCTCATGGGACCTTATTTAGTAAAAAAATATGTGTGGTAGTCAATGGCGAGAGACAACTTATCTTTTTATTCCGTCTGAACTGTGCCCTGAATTACACATATGATGTTTGTCAATTTAAAAGTTAATTCTGAAAGTCAAAAACGTCACCGTTTGTCATAAAACAGAAGAGTAACTTTTAGCTTTATGTGAAAATCGCTCAATGAACTACATCTCCCAGGAAGCGAAACAACGAGCAAGATCCGTTGCTTGTGTGTGTGCAGTCTGGTACAAAACACTCAGGCATGACGGCGTAACATTATGATTATAACGCAAGACTATAGAAACAATGACAGACATTAGCCTCAGTAAAGTTAGCTTCATTCATTGAGAGAAAATGTGCACCTTTGGGGTTTGTAGTCTTTGTAATTACATATTTTCACAGTCTTATACCTCAACGGTTTCACATCAAACAGCGACTTTCTTTGCTTTAAAATGTATCTTTTAAATTGACAAACATCATATGTGCAATTCAGGGCACAATTCAAACGAGATCAAAATGTTTGTTGTCTCTCGCCATTGACTACCATACAATATTTTTCCGAAATAAGGTCCCATGGTGGTTGACCGGAAGGGGAGGGACTTAGGCTCTCTATACTTTCACGTCTCGAGCTGGTGTGGGCTGCCCGCCCTGGCTCTATGGGGATGTTTGTGTCTTAAGCACCCTCAAAATAAAGCAATGCAGTCTACATTGGATGCGGCGAGGTGTGAAGCTACACAACACATTACCAACAGTAAACTGATCGCCCGTGCGCTCTGTTTCTAACGCACTTAAGGTTTGGTTTTACTCGCTGCTTCAGCCATGACAACATACAGAGGTAAAAAACAAAACAAAACGCTTGTTGGGCTCTCGCATCGGAATTTGGAGAAGTGGGGGAAGTGACGTATTCCGTAAAGCAGTCAAATTTTGTAGTTATTTTTATGCTCGGGTTCCTACCCGCTCCCCTAAGTTACATAGTGCCAGTAACAGCAATACAGACCATGTCAGGCTATGGCAGACCTGTCATTCAACCTATTGTAAGTCGATGTACCATCTCAAGGGTTTTGGGAAAATATTATAAAGGTTGAAAAAAAAAAACGCATAGTGCTACTTTAATAAGCTAGCTGGCTAACAGGATGCTAAGCAGTGAAAGAAATATTTAATTTCAAATGTAGATCTTTGTTTATTCACAATATTCAATTTAAAAGACATTTATAGTTGTATTAACAGTCTTTACATCATTTACTCACCCAAATGTCATGTTTTGAAGAATGTTTGCAACCAAACAGTTTTGATGCATATTGACTTTTACTGAATGGACAAAAAAAAAAACACTCAAAATGTCGACTGTGTTACAGTCATACAGGTTTGGAACGACATTATGGCGAGTAAAAGAAATTCTCTTTTATTTGGTTGAACTATTCCTTTAAGACTAAATATGTAAATATACAAGTAAAATCTGCAGGTTTTCTAATTAGAAGTAATTAGAGTTTTTTTTTTTTAGAGTTTTTTATAGATATTTGCAAATTAGGCACTACATTACAAACCATAAAGAAAAAGAAAGAATTGGCAAAATCCCAAATGGTATAGAACAATATTTTATCACAATTTTAGAAAAACGCCTCCCTGTTGGTAAACATGTTTCTCATCTTTATAAAAGATTGTTAATAGGCACGGGTGGAAACACTTACAATATTAAGGAAAAATGGGAAATAGAAGCTAATACAGTAATAGAGGATGAGTTATGGGATAAACTCTGTTATAGGTGCCATAAGGGAATTAATAGTCAACAGTGGAAGGAATTTGACTGGAAAATTAAAATTCGTTATTTTCATACTCCTCTGGTTTATTTCAAGGTTTGTAAAAGACCCCTCTGCAGCTTTATGCTGGAGACAATGTGGTAAAACAGGTAACCATACACATATATTTTGGGATTGTCCAGTAATCCTTGTGTATTGGAAAAGTATTAAAGAAGAGATGGAGAAAATTGTAAAAAGAGAAGTTCCCTCGAATGTACGTTTTTTCTTACTGGGTGTCATATCAGTTGATGTTTTCAATGCTGACCAAAGATATATCTTACGAGTATTATTACTAATCGCTAAAAAAAACATTACTGCTAATTGGAAGTCTGTGAAATCACCAACTGTAACCGAATGGAAACAGAGACTAAAACAGATTTACATGATGGAAAAAATTACTGCATCATTACAATTGAAAACGGACCTTTTCAATCAGAGGTGGCACATGGTTAGAGAATATTTAAATCTATAATCTTTTTTTTTCTTTTTTCTTTTATATATATATATTTCTTATAAAATATTATATATTTTATATCATAAAGGCTGATATTATATCATATATTTACAATGCTATATATTATTGTATCATGTTTGTCGAGATGTGAACATTAATAATAGGTGCAGTTATATATATACCGAATATTTGTATGTACTGGGTTATTTATTCATTTATTTATTTTTTTTCTTTATTGTATTCTTGTTATTTTATCACTTGAAGTCTCTTATTGTCTCAGATAATGTTCCTTTTGTTAAGTTCTGTGAAAAATATAAATAAAAAGTTCAAAAAAAAAAGAAGTAATTAGAGTAAAAATGAAAAGACCTTCTTTTCGGCCCATCTAATCACAGATGGCACACCTACGGTCCGTTTACCGAATGCATGTTGCAGTCAAAATTATCCAATTAGATTTCCGACTGCTACGCAATGTCCGGGAGTCAGGACACACGTTTTAAATCAGATTGATGGGTGATGTATAAAGGTACTTTTCATCCCCCCAAAAATCAAACATAAAGTTTATAAACCAGCTATGACAATTATTTTTGGATTTTAAGTCCCAATTGGTAAGCACATTTTATGCTAATCTCTACATGGTCCTGTCTGAGCGGGCGATTCTTGGAGAGGATAAGCAGCAAAGTGGACCAGACTATGCTGAAAATCAGATAACTGCAGTCTGCATACACAAGACTACTGCTCTGAACTGTAGCATATTAGTATTCTTATGCATTTACACAAGTGGATCGTGTGTTTGGTTAATCAGTGTTGTTCACATCTATATAAGGTCTGAATTCACAACAGTGAGGATCTGATACCTTATCACACTGTACAATGTACAGGTGGGTCAAACAAACACAATTAAAAAAAAAAAAACCTCACATAACGTCTAATATGTGCTGTTAGCATTCATGCCAAAGGGTAAATGTCAAACCCATGCGCTCACACATAATACCTAATTGGAATAGAGCTCGGTGCATGACATCATCTCACGCACGTGTAAAGCACACTGTGTGTGCGTGGTATCATTATAAGACTGGCGAACAGGAGACAGATCCAGACTTCATCCAGGAAACAGAGAAAGGAAGAGAAAGTCCCATGAATAAAATACCAATTTAAAGCTCCCTAACTGTCACTTGCCCTAACTTTACTTCACTATATTACTATTAAATCCTAATCTTGTCATGACAAACTATATATTGTTGGAAAGGTCTAAGACTCCTAAAAAGATATTTTAGGTCTGTTTTTTTCTTACAAATTATGAATGAACAGTAATATATGAATATATGACAAGAGTGCGCCTCAAAAAAATCGGCGTCATTACAGGAGTTTCTGACCTTTGTCACAAAGGTCGACGCACACACTTTTAATAATCGAAACTTTGGTTTTTAGTGCTAAAAGTTCATAATAAAACATAATTAGTATTTATCAATAAAAAAAGATAAAATTATATTTTAAAAAGTAAGGTCAGAAGTCCTCTAAAAAGTATAATATATTATACATATATACATTTATTTTTTTAATTATTATCATATAATATTTTAGTAGTTATCATAAACCAGGTATCATTTGAAAGCTTACGAACTCAGAATTCATCCTGTGAAAACCGTTTTGAAATTGGACGTTGCGTTACCATAGAAACGGTATTTTTTTATTAGGCCCCTCCCCTTTTGGGCATCATCTTTCATAATTTATTATAAAACCTTTTCTAATCTTGACAAAACACATATTGTCAGAAAGGTCTGAGTCTCAAGGTTCCATATTTAGTGACAGGATAGATAGTTTAGGATAGAAATGTATTAATTCCCAGGTGAAAAAGACGTACAATTAAGTGTATTAAAAATGTACTTAAATATGTTTTTAGTACAATACAAATATAATGTAATGCATTTTTAATACACTTAATTGTACGTCTTTTTCACCTGGGTTTGTTATGGAAAAAAGCATACAATTAAATTCAATGGAATTCAATGGCACCCGGTGGCTATTTTAGGTACTACGCCTAAACAAAATCTCATGGGAACTTCAATTTTTGTGATATCAACTTCAAATTTGGAACACAACTTGTTTAGATATATAGCTTTCATTTTATAGTAATTTTATAGTAAAACATATTTTGTAAAATATATATTTCATATTAAAAAATATATATTAATAAAGTATATTTGATTTACTGTAAATTATAACTTACATAAGTTTTTCATAGTTTAATTTTTTGAAGTGCTTTCAATTTAGTAATAATCTGCTGATTGTTTTCTTTAAAACAAGACCAAACTTAGGTCTATATTCCAAAGAATTCTTGAATTACAACCATTTGAGTTTGTACTTTGTATAGTGCATTTTAATGCCAATTATCAAAAAGGGGGGACAGGTAAAGGGTTAAAGGACCTTATTCTACAGTTTTGTAGAGGTTAGACCGATATTTTGCATTGGACGATAACTTTCTGGACCCGTTTACACCTGGTATTAAGATGTGTTTTGGTCAATCGGATCACAAGTAGATAAAAGAAACACATTCCCTTTTAGAACAGGTGTTTTAATCCGTCTTGTCTGCTTTCAACCACTTCTGTCCTAATTTCTTCAAAGATGAATAAGTAAATTACAGATGTGCATCAGTAATGAACTCGTGTCCTTGTTCTTAACCAACAAGTTTCTTAACCAAGTCTCACTGTTTTCCATCTTAGAACCACTTCAAGGCTTTACCATGGTAATAGCAGATTTTGTGAGCAGAGTTCTGAGAAAGCAATATTGCATTGCAGAATGGCAAATGCCCAATGACTCATAGCAAGCCCCTCCTCCCAGTGTATCCGTCCATCAGTGTATATGTGTAACAGGTCATGTTCTCACCCAGGTCGTTGTTTTTTGTGATTGCAGCAGCGGCGCGGGATCTGGGGCCCTGCTGGGTAAACTGGTACCCAAACTTCACGACGGTTGTATTTTGCTCCAGCATCTTGGCGATCTCCATCTCTGTCGACGTGCCGAGCTGCTGCCGCTGAAAGCCAACATCACACACATTCTATTAGATGTGCTTATGTAAGCCCACACTCGCAGACATTTCACTATGACTAATGTTCGCATTCATTTTGCATAGTGGCTGAAAATAGCAAAGTTTCAACAACAATTTAGTACCCACACCAGTGTAGTGGCCTACTAAACACTAAATCCTGTTTTATTTTTCTAATGAACTACAAGCTCAGGTTTGGAATTAACTACAAGCCGGTCTCTTTGAATCCATCTTTTACTTTTGTCGAAAGTTGACTAAAGTTTTGTCGCTCGAGTTGTCTTCGCTGATACGGAGAATGGCGGCGAATACACAAACCTGCCAGACATAGCCAGGCGAGCGTGAATGCTCTGCACTGGTAGCATAGGCGTCATTTCCGGGGGGGACGGATGGGACATGTCCCCACCACTTTTTGCCAGGGTCGATTTTGTCCCCACCACTTTTGAAACATCTCGCGGCACAGATGTACCAATACAAATAAAACATCTCCAGTTAACAGCGTTCGTTTCATTTGTTTGTTTGTTAAATAACAGGCGATCTAGCACTGAAATGTGTTGTCTTCTCTCGGAAACGCGCTTCAATCCGTTGCGGAGATTCGGTCCGGTGAAATCACAAATCAAAATGCACACAAACGTGTCCCTGTTTCTCATGGGTTCTAATCCGCTCTCGTATATTTTATTTTCCCCACATCAAAACATATGAAGAGTTCAGATGCAAAAGCCTCTAAATGCCATTTGAAATTTTCTTCTTTAATGATGATTTTTATCAAACTTGTATATTTAAGTTCAGTAATTTCACTTAAATGGCAATGATAATTACCTATTAATTGTTATTTAAGTGAAATTACTGAACTTAAATATACAAGTTTGATAAAAATCATCATTAAAGAAGAAAATTTCAAATGGCATTTAGAGGCTTTTGCATCTGAACTCTTCATATACAACCACTGATAAATTTATATCAATTCAACCACTGATAAACATTATTGGTTTTGATGAGGGAAAAAAAAAATATACGAGTGTGGATTAGAACCTTGAACCTCCCGAGTCCCGACACGCTAGGCAAAAATTCTACCTCTGGACCATCACTGTACATACAGTATGCATTAAAGGCCGTATATACTGTATATACTCACTATACTCGGACATTGTGCTCATTTTTATTTATGTACATCAGGAAGCTACAGGACATCGTCTTTCAAAACATGACCAACTCGAAAGTGAAAAAAAGAATGAACACTTCATTGTACCCAGCACTTTTAAAAAATGCCCTTCCGAATACGTCTCTGTCTCCAGCACATTTCAAACCAAACTGACGCCCATGACTGGTAGCACCTCTCTGACAGTCTGCAGAGTAGAAAATAGTTTGCTGGCTTTAGAAAAGGATGTGGTTGTGTCCGTGTGGTGGTACCTGGTTGTCGATCTTGATCTCGGAGAGCGTGTCATTGTCCCGCAGAGCTTCTACCAGAGCCTGAACTCCTGCACCAGTGATGAAATTAGACTCCAGATTCAAACTCCTTAGCGTCTTATTCTCTCGTAGCATGTCTGAGAAGGCCTGGGGTGAACAGAGAAACACACATAGAAGAGATATTAGTTTATCAAAATGTCACTTGGTTCAAATTCTTGTTGCTTATGCTGGATAGTCTATATATTACACATAAAATATGTTTTGATTGAATGCGATCATCACTTCAAGATGCGTTTCATTTAAGGGTGAAGAATTACTTGAAACACCAGTAACCACAGCTATAAGGAATGACCTTGTAATATATTATTTTGAGTTCAATATATTTACTGGTATATTCACTAAACTGGTTATACACAATTTTCAGAGGTTTAACAAATGCTGCCTATTTGAAATGAATTGTTTGGTGAATGAAAGCACCAGCAATGATGGAAAAACAACATCAGACATCAATGAGTCAATGCAAGAAACAAGAGTCAATGCACAATGCTTCAAGGTCTATCCAATCTCAACCTAGAACACACAAACATCTCAAGCGAATGAATGATGTCCCTAACCACGGCAACAGGGTCATTGCTCCTGGTGGCAGCCAGACTGAACTTCTTCACATGAGTGTTCCTCTCCATGGCTTTGGCTAACTCCTTTAGAGTCGGGATTGGAATGTTCTGGAACAAAAGAGAAAGGAAACATTAAAACAGGACAACTAAATGTTGACACTTGTATGCCACTAAACTCATCGTCATGGTCTTCAGGTTATACAACATAGTCTCCATTTTGGGGGTTTGGAGTTAATTTGTGCCATATGTAAATTTATATAACCAAATAACATTCCTCCCAGTGAAAGAGATAACCAAAATGATAAGCCATAATTTAATTAAAAGGAAAAATGTTGGGCTGGGAGCAGTAAAGAATATTTATTGCAGTTGTGGTTTGTGTGTCTGTTTATTACGTAGTTATTTAATAGCAAATATTTTAAAGACTTTAAAGCAGCTAAACCAAATGGGTTTTATATTTAAGTAAGTCCAACAGAGTCCAAAATTCTGAGACCACTAAAAATGCTTGCATAAATTAGATTATCAATTCATTTAAGAGAAAAAGTGTTGTAGTTTTCTCAGCATATTTTGAGCATGTCCCTCCCTTTAGTGAAAGCAAGAAAACCAGGTCATCTTTACAAATGAGTCTTTTTAATTTTTACATTTAATTAGTGACCAGTAAATAATGCACAATATCATCAATATTTTTTAAATGTATTCTATGTTTTTTTTTATTTCCAATCTTAAATTATTTTTTTTAAATCCCAGATTGTCAATGTCGTGGCATCAGATGTTTGGACTAAATTATTTAGCTGGTAATATAAATGCAATTTTTATTTAGCCATTCAATTTCATAAGGTTTTTTTGTAAGGGAGCCTCAATTTAAAGGGATAGTTCACTTTGAAATTAATTTTTGGTATGTTTTAGCTTACCTCAAGGGCATCCAAGATGTAGGTGTCTTTGTTTCCACAGTAGTTTCAATTTTGATATTTTTAGGTCAAACTGTTCTTGTCTGTCAGTCATATAATGGTGGTCTATGGGGTCTTCCTCAAAGAGCATGCACAGAGAAGTCCAAATTAAACGTGATTTAATGACTCATAAATTAAGTACACATTGATGGCTGTAATTACAAGAGGTAAAATGGAAAAAAAATCGTGTTTTAGGCCATCAATGTGTACTTACATTTACGAGTCATCAATTCATGTTTAATTTGGACTTCTCTATGCATGCTCTTTAAGGTGGTGACCATAAACCTCCATTATATGACTGACAGACAAGAACGGTTTGACCTAAAAATATCAAGATTGAAAATACTTTGGAAACAAAGACACCTACATCTTGGATGCCCTTGAGGTAAGCTAAAACATGTCAAAAAATAATTTCAAAGTGAACTATCCCTTTAACATATAGAGTGGTGCAGGTATGACATCACTTAATGGGCCAAAACGTGGAAGCTGAGTTAGCATTTTAGCACTTCCGGTTTCATCGTCCCAAAATCAATTTTTTTTTTTTTAAATGGGTTTTGGTTAAATGGCTGAAATAAGATCTGAGGTGACCGTAAGCTCAGGACACTTTCACATTTTATTCTACGACATAAAATACAACTCATTTGTGAATTTTTAAGCTGTTAAGTGTCTTGAAAAAGGCGGTTGCTAACAAGTAGCTAAATGAGACTACAGAAGCTGTCGAGTGGGAGTAAACGCCATCAGGACGAACAGGTAAACTCAGGCCGATTATAATTGTACACTTATAAACAATTCCAACTCAAACTTTGGGGGAAAATGTTTTTACATAAAAACTGAAAGAGTTATCGGAAGCTTAATGATGGTGACGTTGAATTCGTGGGACCGTGGTGTAGTTCGTTTATAGCCTACCTTTAGCTTTTTACTTCTGGCAGCTGCATTTAGGATTCAAAATTCATAAAAGTTGTGTTCATCTGTGAGAATTATCTTGATGGACAAAATGTGCAAGTATCATAAACTTTTGTTGATCGCAGTGCTCATTTTTTGCGATAATCCAAAAGCCTCCTGCACCACTCTATTCTGTGCGCTCAAACTGATTCTTATTACCTTTATGTTGTTGAGATTAACTTCGGTCAGTGAGGAATCATTGGACTTTATTCGCTGTAGAGTTTCCTCCACGTTTGTAGGGTTTGGTGGTTCATCGAAAACTGGCTTTACTTTTTCTCCTTTAATAACATCTATGACAGAAACACAAAAATCAACAAATGAGCTATCACTAGGTATGTTTGCATGCACTCATTTTCATCAATCCAAATGAATCAGATTCTGAAAGTTCTGTTTATATGAACATAATTGCATAGGTATTTTTGAATCAGATTTAAATAGCAGATTATACATGTAAAAAAAGCAGACGAAAGAATTTACATGTCATTACATTTCCACATTACTATGGAAATAACATTGTTTACATGAAAGCTTTTTAGTTCAACTGAGTGATCAATCCCATCATAAACAGATTTTTACACAGCCATTTCACAAACTAGTTTTTATATAGTTATCGTCTCATTTTTTTGTCAGTGAAAAAAATTACGGAAATTATTTGTCAACGTAATTAGCACTGCACAAATGCAGCTACCGTCACATATACTTAAGGCATTTACAACTCATTTCATAATTAACATTCTGAAAGAAATAAAGCATTGAAAAGAAAATGAATAGAATATCTGTAGAAAGATGACATCAACTTATCACCAAAACATCAACAACAGAATAAACTCACTGTTATAACCGTCTTTGCAGGAGCTGTCATAACTCTGCGTGCTCGTCACCAGTGTGTTCACTCCAAGAATAGCTAGACAACACAACACAAAACTGTAATTATAAAATATACACAAACAACAAGTGCTTGAAAGAGCCTGTGATAGGATTCAAATATTATAACATTGTATGAAGTATTGTAATTTGCAATGCAATTAAAAATAAATGCTCAAACACTTATTTCACCACTATTTTCCATGTTTGAATGCATGTTACAGCATGAAACCACTTTCACATTCCTGATTTTCAACACAGCTGACCAAAACATGTTCATCAGCACATGAAGAGAATAAAGCCTATCAGGTTTATAATGAAGCATGCAGTGAGGGAAACCAGACAGAGACAATCTCTCAAAGCAGCGTGCTAAAAGAGGCTGAATGTTTGCTGTTGTATTCTGGAGCTGTGATGGATGCATTGTGGGCGTTCATACCCACAGAATCACAGAGGAAATTTATTCTAGAGAGAGTGATAGAAAACCACTAGAACAATAGACACCACAGAGCTATTCATTCAGTATTCATTAGTGCAATAAAACAAACCCTAGTGATATTAGCATTCGCATGTTGATCTCCCTTTATCCCTCTATTTACCTGCCAGGTCATGCAGTTCTGTGTCAGTAGCACTGGACAGTGCCTCTTCCAATTCCGGGTCAAGGGTCGTGACTTCCTCTTTAAGCAACTCGATTGGTTTCTGTTTGGGAATCCATACTTTTCCTGTAGAATGAAAAGACAAAAAGTGATTAGTAAATTGTATGGCTTGTTTCTTGAATTAAATTGAAAATTTGTGACCAAGTTTGTCATGTCTTTTAAGCAAACTATTCCATGTAGTTTCTTAATAAATAAAATTTTTAAAATGGGCCGTACACACCGGGACGAATATCAGCGCGCGTTATTCGCCAGCGTTTTGTGTTCTCACCCAAGCGATTTTTAGTGACGATGAGCCGAGTGAATAAGCATATTCATTCTCTGACATTAGATGACGCCAATTTGCTCTGCATTACCACTCCATATCAGTTCTTTTATCAAGATGTTTGTAGTCGCTGTCGCGTTTGTCATATTGTTCTAACACCAACGAGACCAGCAGCTCTACATTCGTCTTGCCTTGTGACCTAGGCAAGGCGACGCTACTTGGCGCATATCTTCTTCGCCGTTGCAAACTTGTGCTCGGCAAGACCGTTTTGTGTTTAAGCGCCCCCAAGTTGTGTTTTACTGTAAATTCAGAAGCTCCAAACATGTGAACAAAAGCGACAATCTCATTGGTCTGATAGTTTTTGACGTGGTGCGTCAAACTAAAAAAACAGGAGCCCGAGGCGTAAAAAAAAAAAAAAAAAAGCCGCTTTTACGCGTCGGTGTGCACATTCATATTGGCGCCCTTTGTTTAGTCACGAGGCGTTTAAATTCGTCCCGGTGTGAACAGGCCTTTAGATGTTGAGAATGTCACATCACAAGAGGTATGTCAAGGTATAATGTTATTTTGAAACATTGTTTCTAACAGTTAAGGGGCTTTCACACAGGACACGGTATGCGCTGCGTTTTGTTGCTGCGTCGACAAAAGCGCAGCGGTGCGCACCATTGACTTGCTCGCGCGCATGCCACGGTCAAAGTTCAAAATAGGTTAACTTTTGCCGCTGCGCTCTGTGACTATTATCAGCGCGGCCAATAGAAACGGGACATGGAAACAAACACGGAAATCAAAATGGATGAACAGGTTGTACTGTCGGAATTTCCTGAGCTGTACGATACAATTTTGACATGGTCAGAAAAGCTGTGTCATGGAGACATATCTCCAATCAAGTTGGCTTGTCAGGTGTGTTTGGCTGTCACCCCCCTTTTTGAGAATGGGGGTTAAAATGCACTATTCAAACTTAAATGGTTGTAATTTAAGAATGCTTTGGAATATATACCCAAGTTTGGTCTTGTTTTAAAGAAAACACTCAGCAGAATATTGCTGAAGTGACAACACTTCAAAAAATGAAAGTATGAAAAAGTTATGGAAGTTTAAATTTACAGTAAATTAAATATACTGTACTATATATTTTTTATTTTATATAAAATATATATTTTATAAAATATTTTTTACTCTAAAATTTCTATAAAATCAAAGCCATACATCTTATCAAGTTATGTTCCAAATTTGAAGTTGATATCACAAAAATTGAAGTTCCCATGAGATTTTGTTTAGGCGTAGTACCAAAAATAGCCACCGGGTGCCATTGAATTCCATTGAATTTAGTTGTGTACATTCTGCCTTAACAAATTAATACATTTCTGTCCAAATATCAATTCTTTCACAAAATTTGGAACCTTGAGACTCAGACCTTTCTGAAAATATCAGTTTTGTCAAGATTAGAAAAGGTTTTGATCATAAATTATGAAATATAATGACGCCCAAAAGGGGAGGAGCCTGATAAAATAAGTACCGTTTCTATGGTAACGCAACTTTCAATTATAAAACAGTTTTCACATGATGAATTCTGAGTTTATAAGCTTTCAAATGATACCTAATTTATAATAACTTCTAAAATATGTGATATAATAAAAAAAGGCGATAAAAAATAATATTATATTTTAGAGGATAATAAATATAAATATTATCATTTTTAGAGGATAATATTGTACTATAATTTTGTATTTTTTATTGAAAAATACTAGATTATATGTTTATTATGAACTTTTAGCATAAAAACAGAAGTTTCAATGATTAAAAGTGGGTTCATCAACTTTTTGTGACAAAGGTCAAAACTCCTGTTATGATGCAGATTTTTTGAGGTGCACTCTTGTCATAAATTCATCAATTACTCTTCCTACATAATTTTTAACACAAAACAGGGGTAGAATATCTATTTAGAAGTCTTAGACCTTTCCAACAATATATAATTTGTCATAATTAGATTAGGATTTAGTAGAAATATAGTGAAGTAAAGTTAGGCGTCCCGGTACCGGGACGGTGACAGTTAAGGGGTTAATATATGTATAATTTCTTCGCTTGTTATTTGAATAAATGTTTTATTCTAAAAAAGAACTGAACTCATGATTCGTGTGTTGATTTCGATGTTATATGTGTACACGCACACACATATATACACATACATATATATATATATATATATATATATATATATAATATCATACGGCATAGCGCAGCGCAAATAACGTATCTAAAGGGCAACGCTCAACCCAGCGGCCAGCGCAGCGCATACCGCGTCCTGTGTGAAAGCCCCTTTAGACTATTTTTTATTTCAGGTTCAGATTGCACATTTTTTTTGTCTGTTACGATAGTCACTGTGTCCGATTTTTGACTCCTAAAATCTTGCCTAAAATAGTGTAATCTGAACCAGGCATTAATGTCACTCAGATAAATACATTAAGATTCAACTTATATTTCAAAAAGTTTCGGTTCGGTGAGATGTTTTTAAATGTTTGTGAAATAAGTCGTATGTTCAACAATGCTGCAAGACACAGTAAAAACAGTATTACTATGTAAAATATTTTTAATTCTAGATAACAGTTTTCTATTTTAATATACTTTGAAACATAATTTTTTAATTTTCCACTTAAACATTTGTTTAAGTTTAATCAATACTAGAACTCAGCCTCTTCCTACCATAAAAGAAAATTATTTCTTTGCAGCTCAGCCAAAACATAAAAAAGTGAACAACCCTTTACTTCACTGATTATTGCCAAAAGACTACATCACTACCAAAAAAGACCACAGCAGAAAGAGAGGGTTAGTGGTCAAACATAATGTCCAGCTATATAAATGGCTAACATTTATGAACGACAGATATAGACGGCGTACAGCAGGCCTATCATGATAACTCACCGCTTGACCTCAACCCAACTCCAGTCAGACTATCTGACTCCCTGTCACTGATAATGAGTTTGAGTAATATGATACTGGTCTTGTGACGAGCTCTTTCTTTGTGGACAGTGAAAAACACACTCTAAAGCTTTATTAAGGACATGTGACTGCTGAGAGGGAGAGAGGATGTTCTGCTAAGCTGATTCAGCTCGTGTTTCAATAAAACCTCACATATGAATTAAACTTTTCTCATAGAATATAAAGACTACAGGAAATTCATTCTTCAATGTCCATCAAAATTTGTTCCACTCCTCAGCGCATTACAACATGGAATATTCCAACTCATGCTGATTCTGAGACACATTTAAAGGAACAGTTTCCCCCCAAAAAATGAACAATCTGTCATCATTAGTCGCTTGAACCACTTTTTAGTGGCCCTGGTCACTATCTGCTTACATTGTATGTAAAAGAGGAGCGTTAACATTTCTGAAACATCTCTTTTCATGCCCTTTTAAAAAAATAATGAAAAATAGAGATTGTTCTTTCTTTCCTTTAATGTCATTCCAGCTTCTACGGATATGTTTATAAAAATAAAACGTTTAGGATTAATTTTTTACTAAAATCTTTAAAACTAACTCTGGATTATACTCAAAAGTATCCTACAAGGTTGTTAATCGATTTTATGCTATTGTTGAAGCTGACAGTCCGTATTTTGTCAAATATTTTTTTAATAGAGGTCTTCCTGGAAAGAAAAAAACTACATTACCCATGATTATGCTGAGAAATCTCCAATAATCAGAGATCCGCAACAAGTAAATCGAGCACTTTAGCACCCACTCAATCCCATGAAGAACTGTGAATGATGTAAAATCCTATGCTCTCAAACTACATACAGTAATGATGCGAAATATGCATGCAAATATTTAAGTACACTGTCATGTACCTTTGTCTTTTTGTCCAATTTTCAAATACTTTTTTGCTTCAAATCAAAGTTTGTAATATTGTGGTTTACAACAACTGAATTCAGACCCCTATGGGTCTTAAAAAACTTTCTGAACCAAGGCCACTGAAAGCGTGAAAAGGCATTGTTGCACTCTAAAAATAATAAGAGGTTTGAAACATGGCATATTTAATTTATTGCTGAAGTATTCCTTTAAGGACCCATGAAATGATGATTCTAGACCTTCATGTATGACAGAATATTTCCAACAGTCATAAAAGCAGCTGGCAGCTCAGAAACCTCTCATTACACACAGCTCTAGGACTAGAACTATCTACTTAGTACACATTCGTAGTTTCTTTCCCCTCCATAAAGGACGGCAACAGTACGTCACTCAGGCCTGTGAGGTTTGGAAACACACACCATGCAGTTCAAAGATACTTTTTTTTCTTATTCTCCTGTTTTATTCCATTTAGCCAGGCTGTGCATTACAGCGATTTTACCACTTTTGAGGGGTGCTGTTAGGCACAGGATGGATTATTGTTTAGTTTTCCCCTGGTTCTCTAGACAGCTCCTAACAGGAACAGGCTGAGGATCCTAAGACCTTTCTCACTGCTCTGGACACAAGAACAGGCTTTGTGTTTGAGGTGTGGCTGAATTCCAAACACATGTTATCAGTGCAAAAAAATTAATGTGAACCAGGAAATAAAACAAAACAACACTGATTGAGAATAACTATTTGCAGAGTCACTGCTGGGGAAATTATAGACTGCTGAGTTCTAAAAGAGTATTTTTGAGTATATTATATTTGCCATTTACATATGATTTCATGTGTGTTCAGAGGATATCTACCATACACACAGTCAACTACAATAACATGTTTGATAATATTCAATTATTTCCAATGACAGATATAGTATATAATGTTTCTATGTCCTACACGCATACACAAAGTCAATGCCTTCAAGGCTC